TTGATTTACTATAAATACTATTTCAACGCATATAACTAAACAGGAAACAACAGTTCCATGGAGAGGCTTATTGAGAGGACAAGCAAAAATAAACAGACAATTGTGGGTTATTTGTGCAATTAACTTATTACCTTATTTTTGTTTATTTCTAGTCTTTAACTGATATTACTAGAAAATTGAATAATTGAATGGAATTGTATATAATTTTTAAGTTATTCTCGCCCGCATTGGAGGAATGAAGATTAGAAGTGGAAGACCAACCCTACTTGATAAACAAATAACGAACTTTTAGGTATTGGTGTATACTCAAAAATTCAAAAATATTTCCCAATCATATTTCAAAATTTAAACTATATCATGCTTGGTACTTCTAGCATTCATTGGACTTTCTGTTAATCAACTTCAGTTAAACAAAGCTAATCAAAGTCCCAGAGAACAGAAATAAGGTTGAGCTGATTGTCTTTCCACACAATGAAGGCCTTAAACGTGAGAGAATTCAAGACCTCAAGGTGCAACTAACTTAAAGCTCGAACAAAGGAGAAACAGTGGACAGTGGCACTCTCCGACATATCCGACTGGCCAAAAATCGAAGTCGTTGCTGAGTTCAGACTACGTACCGGACACGATTGCCTGGCAAAATAACTTCACAGATTAGGAGTATACACTCAAACCACATACCCCATATGTAACCTACAGGAAGAAATGAAGAAGACCCAACGGATTCGGTGTCCAGCCCTAAAGACAACGACGGAAAGATAGAGATACAGGGAAGCAAGAAGACAGCTAATTAACCGCTATTTATGTACCCCCCTCCCACCCATGGGGAAAGCTGAAGTCAAAGTTTAAGAGCTAATGATAAACATCATAAAGCCTGCCATTTGGAAAAAAGTTTGAGCTGATTTGGGGAAAAGGTATATAAAATCACATTGTAAACTCTGTTTGCTATGAACACGAGCGCAACGTCAAACTGAGGGATCAGATTATGAAAGCCCTGCTACAGAATTCCCAAATGTGCCAATATGAATTTTATTGCTCTGGAGAGAGTAACTCACACAATGGGATCAGGAATTTAAAGGGGCTATAAAACTGGACATTCTCAATTTGTTATAAACCACTATTCAATAACCTTTTTCATTGTTTAGCAATCGTTTTTGCTTCAACACTTGTTTAGATGCACTAGAAATCCTTGATTTTGACCACATGCTAGGAAATCGGTCCTAATTGTCCCAAGTCAGTCAAATTATAATATTTTTATCGAAATGGGGTGTGCGATAGACTTACATCCACGTGGTGCACCCTGGGCAACGTATACTCATACGGCAAAAAAAGTCTTTTAACCGGTAGTTGACTTCCGACTTCAAACTACCACGACCCCCCTGGTTGTCGTATTCGACCCTTTTACGGTACTCACCTTACTTTCTTCTCTACCTTTGTGTCTGTCTGCCTCTTTTACATCTGTGAATCGCTCTTCTGTTCCCCACCCCTCGAATTTCTGCTACTTTGATGAACCTTCCCTCTGTGAAGTCCGAAGTCAGCTAAATGGCTAATGATAGCTATCAAAACGCCTGCCATTTGAAATAAATAAATAAATAATAAATACCTTTCCTCTTGCTCCCGCACATACATGAACCCAATCTCTTAGATTTGGGAAGCTGCGTCGGCATTGTTGGAGCGACACCAATGGTAGCTCGACTTCAAGTAACTTTAGTGGTTGTTTGGCGCTTTTGCAGCGACGATTACTTGAGGACTGTCCAAGACCACATTGCTTCGTGGGTGGTAGGATTGATGTAAAAAATTGCATGAGTGCCGAGGGTATTGCAAGTGGACGGGAATCAGGTGCCGTAGCACCCCAACCCGCAGCGTAGCATTTGTGACCTTCTGGAAGTTTGAGGCGTTGATCGGGAAGGCAGATGGAGCTGATTTTGTCGCCTACATGAATAAAAAGCCGGGCATATACAAGACAATTGTCAAGAATACAGCCAATGTTGGTGGGCTATACGGTGCAGTATTAATGGCCCAAATTCAAATAAGGAATCATTGCGATGTGATCAAAATTGAATGGTCCCTTACTCTTCCTTTTAAAATGTAATGCTTAATATTGTGCAATTACTAAATAGAGATAGGGGGGGGGGTGATTGGAATAGAACGACATCCCTCTTGAAAATGAGGCTAAGTTGGAGCTTAGCTTACAGCTTCGTTGGTCTCGCATCATTCCAGGCTTAAGTTGATTGACGCTAGAAGAAGGTTAACATAAAAAGCTTGCACATCTGTGAAGAATTTGTGGTCTTATCAACTGACCTCATTTCCTACCCGGACATCTGTAAGCTAGGCTTCCAGACTCATTCCTTTTCTGTATTTGTCATACAAGATGTATGCGATTAGTCTAACTGAGCTAGAATCAGGCTAACAGTTTAGCAACAGAAATACGAACCAAAGCATCCAAGCTAGCGTGCAGTTAGAACAGCTCTACATGTGCTAACCACAAGAGGTGTTCACGTTTAATTGAATTTTCGTGAGTTAGGCATGATTATTTTTTGTTAAGCTGTCTGAGTATATGATACAGAGAGCTCATCACTAAACCAAGGTTATCTGCACTCAAACGGTAATAACATGTAACCGAGACTAATCACGATTTCTCACCAGTGTCGATCAAATTTCTGAAAAAGCTTCCAGCAGTCAATAGACCCTGTAAATTTTGATTACCTTAGCTTCTTGGATATGCCTGGTTTCCGAACTTTTGTCTGACTGTTTTGTTGAAGTTAACCTTAAACCTGGAGTGCGCGATAGACTTACCTCCATCTGGGGCACCGTGGGCAGCGTATACTCATAAGGCAAAAAAAGTCAATAAACCACCACTTAACTTCTGAATTCGAACTACCATAACCCCACTGTATGTCATATTCCACCACTTTCACATTACTCACCTTACCTTTTTCTCTACCTTTGTGTCTGCCTGTTTCTTTTACATCTATGAACC